CTAAACATAAAAATATTTAACTCACTTATTTAAGAGAAGGAAAAGAAAGAGAATGTTGAACTTTAGGTGTTACTTGATCACAAGAAACACTGCTAAAAATTTATTTAACAATAAGACAAACTACAAAAAATGAAAAGGAAATCATTATATTATTGTTCAAAAAATGGTTTTGCTTGTAGGCAGTACTGATTGACTTCCTGCTTTTTCCAGCTTTCCTTTTTAAAATAAATAGTTCTTAGATTTCACTCTATCTTCTTTTAGTCCATTAAAATCAGTGGTTTTATTATTTTCATATTTTTAAAAATTAGGAATATTGTAATTATTACTTTATTAATTTTTACATCATGTTTAGATCTCCCATGTCCCATATTCATAATTTGTATAAATAATACTCAAAAGAACATCTTACTTATTTGTTATCTCACTCTATTTCTCTTCTAAGTTTAAGGAGAAATCTCCAAGTTGACAGACACAGACTTGAATAATTTGATTATTTGATTTTTTTATTGTTAAATTGAGTTAGTTTGGTATATATTTTTGATTTCAAGTTAATTTTTCTCCTTTTAATATTTGGTTATTTGTTCCTCTTTTTTAAGTTGCTCTAGGGATAATATTGGTGTTTAGTTCATATCTTTCTTGCTTCTTAATGTTAAGTTGTATTGCAATTAGCTACCTGCTTAGCTCATTTTTGCTGCATCCAGGAATTCTGACAGCTTACGTTTTCATTAGTCTTGAGGTCTTCTTTTTTTCTCTTTAGTTTCCTCTTTAATAGCTATTAAGCAGAATGATGTTTATTTTCATGTATTAATGGTTTTTCACTTTTTAAATAGTTGATTTCTAACTTTATCACAGTGTTGCCCCTAAGAATATTGTAATCTTTGTTCTTTTATTGACAAATGACTAGCGTCAAAGTGTGTGGTATATCTTTAAAAGATTTCACCTGCACTTAAATACACACACACACACACATACACACACACACTTTATTGGTAAGATAAGTTTCCTGTAAAGAGTAGGTTTTTTTTTTTCTTTAATTCACTCAACTACACTATGCCTATTAATTGTTGAGTTCAACCCATTTTACATTTATGGATTATTGAGACAGAAGGATTTACTGATATGTTATAATTTTTTTGTTTTTTTTTTTTAGTTTGCCTTTGTCTTTTAATTTTTGACATATAATTACATTTTGTTTAGGCTTCATTTCCATTCATTACTTCTATTAATTCTATTAATTTTTGTTAGAAAGTTCTAATGAGATTACTATATTATAGATTATTTTTGTGATCCATTGGATGGTCTATTCTCGAACTTCTTCTGATAGGTCACATTTTTCCCTCTTTTCCTCATGTGATACTAAATGTAGTTTTCTACCTTTTTCTGCAAGACCAATGTTCCTGTTGTTTATGATAGCTATTGGTATATGTTTCAGAGCTTGTTAACTTTGTTTTGTGGCAGTTTGGTTGTGAATATGTATCCCTAAATCATATACAGTGTTATAAACCAATGTTACCTTAAGAAACAATAATTCCAGGGTGCAGGGGTTAAAGTCAACACTATGAAGCTATCAATAGCTACTGCATAAATTCCATCCCTGGTCAGGATGACCCACATAGTGCCGCAGACCTCTCCTGCCTTATCCCCTGCTCCCCTCAGTAGTGTAATTCAGTAGATCTGCCTGTTATGCTCCCTACTCTGTCTCTGGGAATCCTCTTAACCCCTAGACCTTCATTTGTATAAATACATAAAACTTTATTAAAAAAAGAGAAACATTGGCCCTCCCTGGTGGCGCAGCGGGTTAAAGCACAGCACTGGGAAGCTAAAGCCACTTCCGCATGAGTTCGATTCCCGCCTGCCCCGGAGGCTACCACATGGCGTGGCAGACCTCTCCTGACCCGCCCGCTGCTCCCCTCAGCAG